AGCTCTGCATCACCCCTATATAACGCGTACAGTACAGGCAACCTGACGTCATGAAAGTAGAATTCTAGTGAAATTCTACTTGTCCAGGGCTGCGATCACGATAAGTAGAATTATACTAGAATTCTACTTTCATGACGTCAGGTTGTCTAGCAACCGTCATCATCGCGTGTACTGTACGGACTGTACGCAATAAATAGGTCAAGTGTGACGTCATGAAAGTAGAATTCTACTTGTCGTGATCCCAGCTCAGGTTGTGCTTGGTTTTTCGTCGTTATTAAATGAAGAAAAGGTGATTTCAACAAGATTATAAAACGTTTAGGAATTCGTTTTTTTGACCTATACTGTTTAAAACTCGGCTAATGCATTTTAGGCCAAGGGTTGAGATTTGCAGCTGAAATTGCAGACATTTTCAGCTCAATAAGCTAAGCAGTCCTAGGTTAAGTGTTCTTGGGCACAGGCATCCACGATGCTGCTTTCGCTTTTCTGGGATTCTCCCAGACATATAAGTGTTGACAGGTACTTCCCATTCTTTATTCCAAAGAAGAAAAGCAATAAAATAGAAAAAAGTGCCCCTCCTCAATTTTTCTGGCCCAGTCTGGCCCCCCCTAACATAAAACCCTGGCGTCGCCACTGATACACGTACTTTTTTTTAGTTCGTTTTGCCGGGAATTTGACCTCCAATGAATTTCACTGCTAATTGAAGTTCCTAACTGACGATAACTTCAACACATGGTTCTTTTCAGGGCCAAGATTACGTTAGCGTATATTATAATTTTGTATGTCCACATGTGAATACCTATCCCCTGGTAGTGCCAATTTTACATCGATTCACAAAGAAGACGTTATACTACGCACAGAAATTAAGTAGTTAAGAGAGCCTGTATATATACAGGGTGGTCATTTGATGTGGTAAATACCATGAAATGTAAAAATGTCTTATATAGTAGCTATAGTCCTATTTCAAGAACTATTTTGCCCAAGCTTTATAATTTTTTACAAAGTTCTATATGGGTACGTCAACTCGACAAACTTTGAATTGATTTACATTTTGAATGGGCACCCTATATTTAAATAGTTTATTCTGTAGGCTGACGAATCGATCAGGGAAAAATTAGTAGAAATCTGAATGTGTGAAGATCCATTTTTAAGGGTACCTAACAAAGTTTTCGAATCAACAACTCTGAGATTGCACTTCTCCTTCTTCCAATGCGCAATTGTCGATTGTCCAGGTTTTTCGTACAGGAAGCTTTTTTGCTATCTGGGCCTCGCGTGCCATTGATTTTTCCTTAAATTATCAGATGTATGTTCCAGGATGTCCTATTATCAAACGGGGCACGGAAAATTGATAAAAACTCATTTGATAGAAATATATTATGTGATAGAAATATAATTCGTAGAAATGACAATTGATATAATTTAATTTTATGGATAGAGAATAGAAATACATTTATTAAATTTATAGAAATCAAAGCTCAAATTCGAGTCGATGTCTTTTCTATATAGGACTTTATGAAAACTATGGGAAATTCAGGCAATGTCACAGACTTCGTTCTCTCTTTTGTAGAATAACTTCTTGAAATATTGAAACATCAAACATCTTTATAATAAAATTACCAGCTTTTAGATGAGCAGAAAGGTCGAAAGCCATAATGAGATCAATTATTAAAACATCTAAAAGTGACGTTCTTTATTACGAGATTGATTGAGCTCTTGTATTAACATATCTCTAACTGAGAAAAATATGTACCTATTTATTGAATATTCATAAGTATAATGCATTGACTTCAAAGCAATTATTATCTAATCAGCATCGATTGCGTCAGCTTAAGACAAAGAACTACAAAATAAAAAAACACTTTTCACCTCTCATGGATAAATTTAACATGAACTTGAAAATTGTTTCAATAATAATAATTAGCACAATCAATGTAATAATAACCTGTAGGTATTAATATATATATGGCAAGGATGCATATTTTAGATCACTATTTTGCTGCCTGATTAAAACTTTCTAGAAACATTACTTATAACACATAATTTTTTCGGTTGCTGAAACAGGCCCTCCATAGTTTTATTCAAAAATTACCCGACAGAATCTCAAAAACTTTTATGTTCGATTTTCTCGTTTGTATAGGAATGCTACTTGGATCAATATTTTTATATGGTCATAATATATTATTATTTTTTAAGTAAAGATAAATAAACATTACTTACATTAAACCAATAAACACTGACGCCACTAATAATTTCTCCATGATGCATACATAGTTTTAAATGACCACTTCTCTCTGCTACAGATTGTTTGTAAACAGAGAAATCAATGTTAAAATTAAACGCCTGATAATAATAGAAGCCAGTCGAGTTTGAAACGAAAGGTCTACAATTAAAATTAATTAATGTTTTAGCGTTTTCTAAATTGAACTAATAATTTTTAAATTCTAAGCATAATTAATAATAAAGTGGAATACGTAGTGGGCTCTTACACTAAAATTAGAATACTTAATATTTAAGCATAAAATCTTAAATGAGGGACTATTTTAGGTATATTTGTCAACAACAAAAAAAAAAGGTATACGAGCTTACAGGAGTTTTCGGATTTCGAGGTATTGAAGCTTGAGGATTTTGAAATAAAAATACGAAGATAAAAATCCTTCTAAAAATTTTGAGTTTTCCAATCTATAGAGCGGGTCTACATTAATTGAAAAGTAACCATAACATAATGTCCAAATGACTAATTTGAAGAGTCAAAAAATCAAAACGAAAACTTCATTTTTTGGTTCTGATTTTTTTTTCGAAGCATGACAAAGTTAAGGAAAATTGTCAATAATTCCAATAAACCCTGAACAAATCAAAATAAATTATGCACTATTAGAAAGACCATTAAATTTTCTAGAAATCTGTGCGCGATGGAGTTTGATAGCTCAAATACATTTTGAGCAATTGAGCCTGAAAGTTGAAATTTAATCAAAAACTTCAAACTCAATTTTCTCAAAAATTATAACCTTACAAAAATATTTTCCAACACAGGTTTTTTAGTGCTTAATATAAGAGCTACAATTCCTGAAAATTTTGATGTAACATCTCTCACGGATTTTAAGATATTGAGGCTTAAATATTTTCAAATAAGAATCCGAAAGGGGTACTATCTGAAAAAAATCGCTATTAGTATTAGAATAGGTAGAGATTATTATTTTTGAGTACGTTCCAGTGCGAAAAAACAATTTGCGGTTTTGTGTGAATTTTTGTGCTTGAATAGGTACCTAATCGATTTTAATCAAGAAAGTATTGAATATTGACCAAAATATAATAATGTTAAATTGATTTTGATTAAAATTTCAAAAAACTGACGAAAACTGGAGTTTTGGGAATTTTACATATTTTTCTATACATTTAAAAATTTTAAGAGTCAGTAAGTACCTATACATTATAACCAACTTTTCAAGGTTTAGAGTTACATTCTCGCAAAGTTAGAGTAAGCATTTTGTTTTCAGAACTATCCCAACCGTTGCATTCTGAGGGAACCGCTTTGTCAGCAACGCTTATTATTGTAAATATTTACTTGACTTAGATTTAAGGCAGTTGTATTGTAACCACGCTTAAAAATAATTTTTTTTTAAACTAGCTCCCAAAATTCGAGTTGTCAACTTTTTTTAGGTTCTTAAGTAAGAAAGTTTTTTGTGTATCTCTACATAAGAACCTTGAAAAACAAATTATTTAGATAAAATATTACTTTCAAGCAATTCTAACATCCTTGTATGAATTTCTTACCTTTTTTCTATTTTGTACTGCAATATTTTCCAGAAACTCTCCGCACTAATGAGTTTATTTGAATCTGGTTTGCATTTCAACTACATTGCAATAGCAAATCACAAAAAACTGATGTCCTCTCGAAACTAAACCGTGTTAGACAATCACACACACACAACTATGGTCGTTATCAATTATTACGCCCACAGCGATTTTCAATTTGCACCAACTTATTACCAAAGTACCATTCATATAAAGGATTTTATACTTGTTTCACGATTTATTTTAAAACTTGAAGAAATAATGAATAATTATTGTGAATGTGGAACATACTGTTCCGCGAGCAAGTTTGATTGATAATGCATTTTAAGTCGCATAATATAAGCGTTAGGAACCTATCAAATGCAAGATTGGAGCAATAACTTTTAACCACATCCGCCTAAATAAAACTTGTATTTGAATACAAAAAGATTTCCTCAGAATTATATAGCTATAGGAAACGATTTCTTAAAAAGAGCACGATTTATGGCTTATAACAATAAACAAATAAAATATAATTGCCAAAGAATAAAGTTGATTGTAATATCTAACATATAATTATGAAATTATGGTAATTAATAAATTGCTCTTCGTTTTTTTTTTTTATTTTTTAAAAATGAATAAATCATTTGAATATTTTTATGCTGAATTCATTATTTTTGTTTATCTAAAACAATAATTGGAACTAATTGCGCTAGGAAAGATTACCTATTTATTATGTAATATATTTTTTTATCCCTTATTCTTATTATTTCTTCTTATTTTCTTATTATTATTTGAATCAGCAATTAAGCCGACTGATGAAAAATGGGAATGAGGAAGAAAAAAAAAAGGGAAAAAAAGATGAGAATATGATAATACAAACTCACAATCGACAGAGAAGACTGAAAATAGGACAGAGAACAGGAAAAATAACAGAGACAAGAAATGGAAATGGACATGAGAACGGAAGTAGAACGAAAAATAGACAATGCAACAAATAGACAATGCAACTTTCCAAAAATGGCACATAATATAATTTAAAAAGATAAGAGACAATAAAACAACACCACAAACAATTATCAGCGCAGAGAATTCGGTACACACAAAAAAAAAATAATATAAAAAGACGGAAAGATATTTTAAAAATCCGTTAAGAAAAGAGAAATGGAAACAAAATTGATAGAACAGAATACAGAAAAAACGAATGCGTATAGCCCTCAAACTAGGCAAAAGAAAAAACGAAGAAAACGATTCTGGTTACACTGGAACTGACATACTCATCTAAAAGTTTCGAAGTTGCATCAATTATTTAAAAAAAAATACATAAATTTATATAAATTTTGAAGAATATTTCACATATCAGGATCAGGTAGTCATAAAGTGATTTGATAGGGAAAAAAACTTTTCTAAAACAATTTATTTACAATAAATATAATTTAATACTCCAAATCTATGGCGGTTTTAGTTAAGTTTTGGCTACAAGTGCACCAAATCTCAGGAATGCCTAAAAATAAACACACATTGAGAAATAAATCGCAATAAATTAAAATAAATTTTACCTGCTTCTTCGCAACTTCTGTCATCTGGAATTTTCTCAAAAAACGACCTGCACTGCGGACAAGCCAAACTCTGGGACACCTCCTCGCTAATTCCTGAAAGCTTAAAAATATGTTGCAGAGTCATATACAGGTCATAATTGCTGGTAAGTTTTCTAGTATTTTCATCAAGATGCTTCGTTTCAGCTGGATACTCTAATTTAAACCAGTCGGGCAGCGATATGTAATGCATTGGCAATCTCAATTCGTAATATCCTCGTGTTGTAATCGTAATTTCTCCAAATCTTATACCATGATCGCTTAGTAGTATGACTATATTTTCTTCAAGTATCTTGGATTGTTTGAGATTTCGGAAAAAGTTTTTCACTTTGTCATCCATAGTCTTAGGGGTGTCTATGTAGTTGTGGCTGAAAGTGTTCATCCAGAATAGACCAAATTTTGGTTGATTTTTGAGGTTGTTGGCAAAGTCGTATGCTAAATTCAAAATTCGCTCACCTAGAGAAGTGAAAAATAAGGTTTTTATAAATTTAGTTTTTGGTTTAGTCCGAAATTCCAAACACAAACTCAAATAGTATACAAAAGTTTCAATCCTCACCATGAATTTCTGGACCAGCACAAAACGGCATGGTGTCCTGCTCGATAGTTCTGAGATACGCCACCGCGTCCATGTAAGGCTTGAAATAGTAATCTGTCGGTTTGTTTCTAAAACCTTTTTTGAAGTAATTGAATGTCGCTATCCTGGACCAATCTTCCGCATATGCTGTTGCATATCCATATTCTTTAAATTTATTCCTAGATTTTAAGAAAAATCCATTTTAATTTCATAAATAAAAAGAGATATATCCATAGTCTGCCTAGATCCCAAATCAGAGCATGTTGATGAAAAAAATGACGATGGTATCGAGGACTTGTCATAAGATAATGATGACGTTATCAATATAGAATATGGATAGGCATCAAGTCATTTAGGGAAAGATCATCGCAGCAAATATTTGAACGAAAAGTGTGTGTTTTGGTGTAAAAAAAAATTATTTGAAAAATAACATTGAACAAACACTTTCGACCTATTTAAAGGCCATCATCAAAATCGGTCCTACAATTAAGTGGAGTTAGGAGGTGTGATAGTGGTAAGATAAGTTACTCGTCAAAAAAAGGTTTTTAGTATAATTAAATGAGTCCATGCCTCAAAACTGAAGGACCAGTTGAGCACAAATACATTTTATATCAGGCGCCCCAGTCCGGAGAATAAAAATATCTGTTCAATGTTGTCACATTGTTAAGATTTTTCTAAATCTAAGTTCTGCGATAACTCCGAAAATACTAAGAATTGATCCATAGTTAATAGGACAGTTTTAGCTTTAAATGGGCAATATGATCACATTTGTAGTCAAACCAAACCTGATACACCTTGTATAAAAGTTGTTTGGTGGTAAGTGAATAAGAATAGGTATGCATTGATCTTACCAAATAAATGGACAATTCATCAATCCATCATATTCAGTAGGTTGGCAAATGTTCAGGGCATCTGTCAAATTTAATCCAGCCAAAAAAGCCATGGCGTTCGGAAAAGTGTTGTCAGCCACTTTGTTGTACCCGACAAATTCATAAAAATTATTATCCTTTAGGAAGCCCCTTGTTTCTGGCATGGTCCTGTCAAAATTCAGCCTGGACACCGAATCTATGACTACCATTAGAACACTTATCGGTTTTTTGGTTGTCGATTTGATCAGTCTCTTAGCTTTTTGCTTTACGGCATCTGTAAGTGCGATCACTTGATGGATGTTTTCGTAGAGTGGAACAAGGGGAAAACCTCTCAAAGATGGCCAGTAGGTATCGCCGGATCTACCACATGATACCCATACGAGATCGTGTCGGAGCTCGACGGTGGAATTAAAAGGAAAACAGTCTGTCACCCTAGAATCAAATTTGTAGTTTTTGGTGATAATATAAACTATTCATTGATTTCCTTGAACAAAAAAAAAAAAAACATATTTAAAGGTAGCACTATCTACAGTGGCGGCGATATGCGTAACCGAATATAAGCGATGCTTAGAGGCCCGGGCACAAAGGAGACCCCAAAGGGCCCCCTTCAAGTACAAATATATATTTTTTTAAATGCTTTAAAATAAAATTGAGAAATGTAATGACCAATATCGATTGATATACTTAACTGGTACATTCCTTCCAGTTGCCACCGCGCTGAAAGGTCATTTAGTAAATTGAAAATATTGAAAAGGCCCCTGAGAAATTGCATAAGTCAGCATAGACTGCATGATCTTTCCATTTTGTCTATCAGACATATAGGCCAGGAAAGAGAGCAAACTCGACACAAGTTTTGTTTTATTTTTTTTTTCTGGTAGAACAAGAGCTGCTTATTATGAGTCTAACTTTTTCCAACAAAATTTCTTCCTGGAACATCCCCTTTCATCCCCCTAAAGGTAGTTTTTTGTGGTTTTTCCGAAACGTAGCACTCCCGGTACGTTTACCAAAAAAATACCTTTATAGTAAATTAAAGAGGACTAAATTCTCTACAATTTATTCAGCGACAGCGTATGTCTATCACCTACCCTTAAGCCGTGGTGGCTAAAGTTGAATGACCTTGGAAAAAGATGTTTTGGAGGCAAATCCACCAGAAACCATGCAGCACATTAATGATTAACCGATTTTTTGGTATATGTTTCATTCAAAAATAGTTACCCGTTTAAGATATACAAGGTGTTGAAATTCAAACAACCCCCTTTCATATTATCTGAAGGGCTAATGCCTTTTTTTTCAGGGGTGTAGGAAAACCTTCCGAAAGCCAATCAGGAGCCGGTAATAGTCAAAATTTTTACTTTCATCAACTCTGGATTCGCTAGAGAATTTTTCTAACAGCATCCAAAGCTCAAGAGCCAATAATAATCAAAATTTCGAATGATCACTAGCAGCTCTCAAGTTGATATTAATCAAAATGTCTTCTTCTGCAGCATCTAATTGGCTCAAGAAAAATTTTCCAATGGATCAAGAGCCATGGATAATCGAAATTTGAACTGTATCAGCTCCGGATTCGCTAGAGAAGTGTTCTAAGGGCAGTCAAGACTCAAGAACCAATAATAATCCAAATTCCTAGCAGCTCTTGAGTTGATAATAATCAAAATGTCTTCTCCCGCAGCTTCTAATTGTCTCTTTTAGTTGAACAATTTGCCATTAATAAAACCCAGGGGGGCCTAATTATTGTGATATTTGCTTAGGGGCCCAGTGCATCAAAGCGCCGCCACTGACTAACAGGATTGTGCAGTTACACTCAAAAAGTGCCAACTTTTATTAGAATAACTTTCAGCTGATTATATCAAGTCACTTACGCGACACCATAATCTGGAAAAAAATCCGTTCCATTTCTATAAACATAACTGTAGCAACACTGAATACTGTTTGATGCCCCAAAATACTTTCTAAAAGCTTCTTCTCGAATATGAAGCCTTGGCACTTCATTGTCAACTGTAGTATAACTCAAAAGTGGATCAAAATGTGTGCAAGATACTGGTAACTGTTTCGAACGATTACTTTTCGGGTAAAAAGTTGGTAGGTTGGGAATTGTGCATTTGTTCGTATTTATGAGATAGTTGTCTAAAAAAAAAACATTAGAATCTATTTATCTCCGAAGCTCTTGAAACTATCCAGCGCAAATAATAAAATAAAACTTCAATACTCACTTTGACTGGTGAACTCCAAGGAACCTTTTGCTGTCCACAGGAAAATACTGGACACTAATATTGTAAAACTAATAAGATTTCGCTTCATATTCGAGTCTAAAAAAGTTAATTGTCAATACTCAATCCTTGAGGTAGCATTCCCAAACCTATTTTCAAGATATAAGTAGTGTATTCAGGGTGAAATTTCCTTTTGAAAATGCCAAATCATACTGCTATAAAATCACAATGCAAAATGAATTTCTTGAAAGAAAAGCAAAATCGATTATAAAATTATCTTAGGGTCAAGGAATCGGATAAAACATAAATTGGGTCAAGATCTAATTTTGTTTTATAACTTTCATTAGAATTATTGCAAAATTTTACTTAATTTTTGGTTTCTTTGTTGTAAATTTTATTGTCAAAATAAATTGGGAGAATTTCATATGTAGCCTATAAAATTCTTATTATAATGCATAAGTAACCTTTTGTGACCCCGACTATGGATATACGTAGCAAGCCAAAAAGAGCCACGGAGTTTATGAGGAAAATATATTGCTAAATGTCACTGATTGACATTTTTATTCCCCGTATCAACTTCAGTACCTCCAATTTCATCGTCATTAATTTCTAAATCACAATTATAATCTGAAATAAATCGAAAAAAAATTGCGTGCCTCATATTTAGGAGTTACCTGTAATTTGAGATTATGATATTGCCAACTGGTAAAGGTAAAATATAGGTAATCGCCCTGTAAATAAAATATGCAACATCACCATATTACATGGTTTACCATTACCAGTTGAGTGGATCGATGTTATTATTAAATCGGTAGGTACCTACGAATTGTTGACATCTCACAAATATAATAGATTGATGTAGAGGATCCTCAGGAACACCTTATTCCAGGAATGCCGGGACATGAGAAGAAACACCAGGCAACTACGGCCACACAAAGGTTATCGACCTGATGGACGTAAGTGGAAATGCAAACGGATCAAATGGTGGCAACCCATAAGCTTGAAAAACCATTCAAAGGCACATGCATGCGACCCAATCTACACTTCTGGGGCTTAACGCCACAGTTTAGTGGGCAGAAATAAGTATGCGCATAGGAGATTCTAAGACTGGATTATAACAACCAGAACATAAGCATTCTCTCAGACACAGGCTGCTCTAAGAAATTTGAACTCACTTCAAAGATAAAGATGGAATGCCTACACAACCTGGAAGCGCTGTCTTCAAGAAATAACAGGACAAAGCCTGTGTGGGTTCCTAGGCATTCGGGGATAGGAGGCATAACGAAAAGGCTGACTAACTGGCCAGAACCCGCATTCGGGATATCGAATTAGGTCTTAAGAACGGCATTTGAAAGGGGACCGACCCATTAACATTAATTAACACCTCGACCTCTGGCAGTCCACATCTGGAGACAACGAGAGGGAAACATTGGAAACCCTTCAGAGATGCTAACAGCTGTACTTTACTGTCATTAATGCGTACTCAGAAAACACAAATAAAACAACTACAAGCATTTTGGCCTTAAAAACGTTTTTAATTAAATTTGTACTTATATACTACACTAATCTAAAATTAAACTTAAAAATGAAATCTCAACACATTTTTACATCCAACTTAACATACTCATCTATCAAAAAAAATGCTATGTGAAAATAAATAAATAAAATCTATTAAAAATACAGTAAGTATAGATTTTTTTGAGCCTCGTGGATTCGTTTACTATATAATAATAATTCTAATTCAAAAAATTTCTACTACAACTACCATCATACGTACATAGCTTAGAGGTATATAAAGTATTGTTTGTGTTAGAAAAAAAAACAATTAACGTTAATTTTTGGCATGGTAGGCCAAGCAATGAAGGAAGTTTACCTCAACATAATTGGAAGTTAACATTTTTTGGGGGGGATCGGTTCATTTTCATGTGCTTAATAACATATTGACTTTGCGACCTTGTACTTCCATAGGGTTTTTAGTTAGGGGTGGTTTTTAGGGGTAATTTGCGGTTTATGGAGAACGCAGCTCAAAGGGATGGTCCAATAGCAAAAAGTTTCAAATGAATGTTGTGGCTGAAGTTTTTTGCTATAAAAAACTCAGCGACAGCACCCTTCTATCTGCTATAGTTTTTTTTCTGCAGCGTCTTGAATACTAGCATGTTTTTATTCAAGGTCACTGAATCAACTTTTTACCTGTTTGCGCGCGTTTGATGCAGCAGCGGCTAAATGCATAATCCGATTTAATTTTTTTAAACACCACATTATTGCTAATGAAATGCACTCTCCAATGCTTTTTTGTTCGAATTTTTTGCTTGAAAATTAAGCGAGCACGGACTTGGCTAATGTGCGAGGAAGTTGTAAATTGCATCGAAAACTACCCCATTCTAGCATTCACTGTAATTTCTAAACGGGGCCAAATATTTGGTGACAGTTTTCGACAATCGGCAGCCCATTTATTCCTCTCATATTGCCACAGCGGATTTTTTTTTTCGTTAATTACTCATTGACTTATTGGCCTGAACACGTCGCGCGGAATTTTTCAAAAAGTCGAAAAAAATTAAAATTGTCGCACGGCGCTGAAATTTGGTACGATGGCTTTTTTTATTGTTTTTATGAACATACTGAAATTTTAATTGATTCACATTGCAGTATATTCATGAGAACAATAAATAATGCCATCGTACCAAATTTCAGCGCTGGTGCGACAATTTTAATTTTTTTTGACTTTTTGGAAAATTCCGCGTGACGTGTTTAGGCCAATAAGTCATTGAGTAATTAACGAAAAAAAAAATCTGCTGGGGTAATATGAGAGGAATAAATGGGCTGCCGATTGTCGAAAACTGTCTACAAATATTTCGCCCCGTTTAGAAATTACAGTGAATGCAAGAAAGGGGTATTTTTCGATGCAATTTACAACTTCCTCGCGCATTAGCCAAGTCCGTGCTCGCTTAATTTTCAAGCAAAAAATTCGAACAAAAAAGCATTGGAGAGTGCATTTCATTAGCAATAATATGGTGTTTAAAAAATTGAAATCGGATTATGCATTTAGCCGCTGCTACATGAAACGCGCGCAAACAGGTAAAACGTTGATTAAGTGACCTTGAATAAAAACATGCTAGTGTTCAAGACGCTGCAGAAAAAAAAACTATAGAAGATAGAAGGGTGCTGTCGCTGAGTTTTTTATAGCAAAAAACTTCAGCTACAACATTCATTTGAAACTTTTTGCTATTGGACCATCCCTTTGTGCAGCGTTCTCCACAAACCGCAAATTACCCCTAAAAACCACCCCTAACTAAAAACCCTATGGAAATACAAGGTCGCAAACTTAATATGTTATTAAGCACATGAAAATGAACCGATTCCCCCCAAAAAATGTTAACTTCTAATTATGTTGAGGTAAACCCTCTTTTTAGATCCCCGTTTCTTGGACTATGGTACGATTGAAAAATTGTGTTTCTTCATTGTTCAGTCGACTATGATAAATTTCTTCCTTGTACAACTGGACAACCTAGAACAGAATATAATATATAGGACAGCTGCGTACAATAATTCATATTTGTAGTTTGTTTGGATTCATCTTGATTCCGGTAGCAGTTACTTACGACAAACTGAGCAATTTCTTTCATCTGTCCCATCTCCGCAACCGTCCCGTCCAGAACAAGCAATGGCGCTCGACCGACATCGTCCATTTCCACAACGTAGGGGACAATATCCTCTAAGCCGCCTCCTAGCTCTGCCTCTGCAGATGTGCGCTGGTTCGTCACTGCCATCACTGTTTGGAAAAAAATATATTCACATGTTACTTACATTTATTTGTATTCAGCCCATGAAATATTGCAGAAAAGAAACTTTGGATAGAGTTAATCGGACTGGAGATCTTATTTAGAAACTTCTGTTTACCTGCATCCGACAATAGCGTTACAAAACTCGTACTCTGGAAGGCATTTTCCATCTGCGCACTGGAAAGTATCTGGAGGGCATTTTTTCTTTCCAAGAGCTTGACAGTCTGCTTCGTCTTCACCTAATAATAACAAAATTTGGATTAAAGCAAATGCTATAGTCAATCTAATATTTTCTACCCTGTCTAATTCCGTTAAATATTCACTAAATTCTGATTCTTGTTCTAATTTGACCCAAGATTTCTACTCTTACCTAAATGACAATCTTTAATGCCATCGCATCTACTAGCCTTGGATATACATTTTCCAGAATCGCGACATCTGAACGATTCATTGGGACATTTGCTCGTTTTACAATCTTCGTCAGAACCGTCCGAGCAGTCTTTCCTGCCGTCGCATACGAAAAACCAGCTGATGCACATCCCGGTACTTCGACACTGAAAATTAGTTCGCCATTGCCAGGTTGACATAAAAGTATTTTGTTTTCTTACCTGGAACGTTCCAGGAATGCAGCCACGATTTCTAGCCGAGCAAGCATTCGTTTGATTTCCCTGTACAATACAATCGCAAACGCCTTCAATACATTTGGATGACGGATCGGCTGCTCTACATTGTAGATCTGTAACGCAGGGATGTCCAAGACTGATTGCTTCATTCGAATTATCCACTCTAGTTCTGATTCCGGTGGTTGTTGGAGGGAGAGCTGGAAAAATGCACATTATCGAATAAAACTGTAGATATTCGAAAATACATGATGATTGACTTACTTGTGGTGGATGTTGCCGTTAATTTTGGCAATGCAGCGGGCGAAGTTTTTGGAGGCATTATTGTTGTGGGTATACTAATTGTTGTTGAAATAGTTGCATCATTGGAAGCTTTCTTCAGTTGATGAGTGAAAGGGTTTTCAGTGATCATTGACGTAGATATCTATATTAAAAAAATAAATATAAAGTGAGACTAGTCTTGATGCAGTTACTTACACTCACCGTAGATTTCGATGCAACAGTTTCAGTAGAAGTGACCTCCTTTTTTAAAAAGTTCACTTTCTTAGTTGAGCTTGTTACTTTTTTCACATTTGCCTTTGTTACTGATGCCACAATAGCATTTGTTTCTATATCTGGTTGTAGAGTTGTCGCGTCTGATTGCGGTGGTAAGGTAGTTTGTTTGGTTTGGAAAGCGGACTGAGAACAGGAATCGCCCAACTGAAAGAAAATTGATATGATTTTAGTGCAAATTAAGGATGAATTGTCTCAAAAATGTCATTGTGTAATTTTCACAATTGTTTGACTGGATTGCAGAATGTAGATTGCATTTGGAGTCGTTACAGCTTGTTCCAGCTGCTCAAGTACCGCTACTTTCTAAATATTTTATGCGTGACTCATCAAAGTAGGCCAGCTTCCTGGGTGGTAAAGTTCCCCTCCTCTTGGGGTGTTAGCCGTACCCCTTCAAGGTTTTTCAGCCTTTTATAGAAGTGAGCAGGGCATTCACAGATTAAATGTTCTGTGGTTTCTGTTGCTTGTTCGCAAGATCTGTAGTGGTCGTTGTCTATTATTTTTAAGTGATATTTCACCAGACAATGCCCAGTGAGCAGATTGACGACTGTTCTAATGTCTCTTCTGTTCATTTCAAGGAGTTGTTCAGATCTCTTTGCTGAGATGGATATGAACCATTTTGCCTGTCTCAGACCCGGGCTGGATCTCCAATGAGCTAGCATTTGGTCCTTTCCCATCTGTTCATTTCTTCAAAGACGTGGCTTTTCATTAGTTTATTAGGGCCTTGAAAAGTGTTACAGCGCCTTGCTTTGCGAGACGGTCTGCCTCCTATGCCCTCTATGCCATGAAGTCCTGGCACCCACATCAGGATTACTTTGGTCCTCCGAGAAAGTTGCTTAAGGATATTTTTACCCTCCCAAACTAGCTACGAATTGCACTTGATGGCTCCTAGAGCCTTCAGCGCCGCTTTACTGTTGGACGTTATGTAAATGTGCTCTCTTTTAAGGCACTCTTGCGTACAGATGTTTATGGCTAGTACCTCAGCTTGTGTGGCGTTTTACCCATTATTAAGGAGAGTTTAAAGTTTGGTCCAGTTATTCCTAGATTGACTCCTTCCGTTAGCTTCGAACCTTCTGTGCACCACAATGATGCGTTGTCCGTCTGTGGTAGCTTTGAGTTCTTCCATCATTGGCGTTCTTTTACAACAACTTCATATGGAATATCAAAGTCCAGTGATGTTATCGTAGACAATTCTGCTCAGTCTTTGGTCACCATACCAACGAGGCGTAGGTGATAATGGGTCTGACAACCATTTGATAATTGTTTGTTTTATTTGAGCCTGATGTCATTGGCATGATACAGCTAATTATGTAATGAAAGTTCCTATTAATTTTAGATTATGTCATTTGTGTACTTTGCTTTGAGTAGCAGCTGACTTGAGTAGAATTAATACTAATTCTTTTGCAGGCCCCTAATATCAACACAATGTTATACGAAGAATGTTTCTTACTTGTTTGAAAGGTGCGTTGCATTGACATCTCCCAAAAAGATTTGGTATCAAGAAGTCACAGTGACTGTCTGCTGTCCATAATCTACAGTGCGCATTGCTGTAACACACATTTCCAGGTCTTGCAGCTAAAACAAAAACAAAACGTTGATATTTGAATACTTATATCTACATGATAAGGTATAGATATAGATATATTTTGTCAACAATAATTATAAAAAAATCCAAACAGATTGGATACTGCCTACACTCAGAGCAAGCAACTCTAGCTATCTTAAAACTTCAACTCCTTCGTAGTATTATGATTCCTAGTTAAATATTTTTGTTCCTAGTATAGTAGAGTAACCTTTCTATATCTATCTATACTGTTCACAACATCATCTTGGTCAGAACAGACACTGAAGCTTTTTCATAAGGCTATTGGCGCGTTCGCCGCACTATCGTGAATCTTTTTACGAAAATGTCGCCTGATGGTTTAGGCCGGGGTTACCCAATTCCTAAATTCTTAATTTTTGTTCTTGATTCCTAATCTTTAAAAACACCAATGTTAATAATCAATCAATCAATCAGTTTATTCAAAAATGAAAATAACATAGACTTAAAAATATTAGGAAAAATAATATCATCTACGATACAATTTCTACTACTGTTTTTCTCGACACCTAGCTAATTTAATAGCTGTATGTGCAGAGCATATAGGTACAATAATTGAGAGTTATTCAGCTAATTTAAAATTCCCTTCAGAAATAGTTAAATTCGATTTGACTTATTACTAACTATAAACTTATGATATGATACAAACTTATAACTATTCACTAACCCTATATAGACAAACAGGCAACTAAAAAAGTTCAAAAAATGTGGTTTTATTTTCACATATATATTCTTTGCACTTTCTCACAAAGGATTTCTAATTTTTTATTTCTCTAATGTTATCTCTAGTATTATGATCATGATCTATATATTGCTTATAGTTGCCATGCTGATGAGTATATACTTTATCATCATATAGCATGTTCCTACGTGGGAAAACGTCGTTCTTTTCTGAAAATTATTTTTCGAATAGAATTTTGAATGACACTGAGTTGTCTTAAGGCACTGTTATAGAAACCACCCTATATCACGATGCCATACCTAATCAATGATTCTACAAGGGATCCATACAACATCAGCACAAAGCTTTTAGGTAACATTTCACGTGGTTGATAAAATTTATGTATTCATTTTCTAATATTATTCTTCAATCTTAGAGCATGATTTTCCCATTTTAAATTCCTATCTATGACTATTCCCAGATATTTAATATCAGACACCTCGTTTATAGGACCCTCTAGCCCAGTCACAGCAATCGAGGAGAAATCAGGACGGCTAGCCGATGTTGGAGAAAACGCTATATAATTTGTTTTCCTTATGTTTAATCTGTGTTGTTCACAAGAGTCTCTGACAGTTTGTAAACTGTCAGACTCCTCTGAGAACATACCTATTGTGCGACAGCGTATAATCTTTGGCAAGTTAGAACAAACGATATAATTGAAACATAAGTGATTGGTTTGAATTATCACGAAGACAATATAGAAGCATCTTTGGAAGAAGCAGAAAAGGGCCGGCAAGGAAGAGATCCCAGAAGAAATATAGGTAAGAATTCCAATCAAACCGCGAAGAAAGATGTCATTCCTATACTTCAAAGGAAATAAAGACCTAACAACTATGATCTTATTGATATGTTTTTAACTTTTTGTTCAAACTTGGTAATGTTTTAGTTTTGAGACTTTTTCTTAAGTATGGCTTTGTCAACAACTCAATTGTCAAACGCAAAATAAAAAATTCTAAAATAATAATTATAAATAATCTACTCCTGAGGTACAACGCAACAATAAAACACATAACTGCCTATGATTATTCGTATAGAAAAATGCAGTTATATTAATTATCATGTTGGAGCGGGCATGGAATGCTTATGCTGTGCTAAATCATAACGTCAATCTGAGCATCATTCATTTATACAATTCACATTCTGCAAGCGTAACAATATACATACTATCAACTTGGGAAAAGCCGTTGCGATGCAGTGGTGGAGAAAACCGAAGCAATAAGGCATACAAAAGGTGAAAAGAAAATGCTAGGCCATCAAGACATACAACTCTGACAGAAGTAGCTACCAGATGTTTTAGAGAAAGTTGCAGAAACAGCAAAGAAATTGGGTAATTTAAATATAAAAATTTACTACAAAGTATGACGAAACAAAAAAGAACAATAATAATAATATGTAGTAATGAAAAAAATTGCGAAATAAAATATGTGAAATGCTTTTCAGTTATTATAGTTACAACGAGTTAGACGAAAACGTGTTTTATTTTAGAACTAGCTAATGACCCGCTGCGTTGCCAGCGTGAAAATAAATTTTGAAATAATACACTTTTTTTCAAATTTTGTTGTTGATTTTCTATTTAATTTTTTTTTTTAATCCGATTGCGTCGCTTGCCAGTGAGTTCAGTGATGCATTTTAAGCACTCCAGAGCTGTTCTAGAGCGCCCCGGGCTGTTTATAGGCGTTCCAGTGTATCAGAGTGTCCCGCAACCGAACTTTTTTTTTCGGGATAAAAAATAGCCTATAGCACTCCCCTCTTTAGCCGAATTCGATTGATCGGATTAGATCGATCTGGTTCAATTTAAGTGAACCACACTGTGTTTGATTGAGGCTGGATCAGTGCACCCTCATCAAAAAAAAAAAATTATCTAGATCAGAAGAAGTTCACTTAAATTGAACCCAAATCGATTTAATCTGGGTCAATCGAATTCAGCTATTAGGTATATAGAGATACGTGGTATTAGATTCAAGATCGGTCCAGCCGTTCTCGAATTCAAATAATAATAAAGTTACGTCGGTTGAATGGCAAGCTTAAATAAATGAAATATGGCAACGTTGTTTCATGCTGTCAAAAAAAAGTTGGGTTATGTTGTTATGTAGTGTGAATGAGTTTGTTTACAATTAATTCAAAATTAATTTCTTTTTCCGAGATGCGTAACCTATCCATAAACCTTCCTTGGGATGGCCATAACAATCTACCAAAGTTTCATCGTAATCGGATAAGTGGTGTAGGAGCGCATAGCCGGATACCCAGCAAACATTGATTTTTATATGTATAGAAAAGCATCCTTTATAAACATGCCACACAGTTCAAGGTGGAAAAATATTGATAAAGGAAAATAACATAGGTAGTAAAAGAAAAAAGAAATATTAAACGCAAGAGATCAAATAGGTAACATGAAAAAAAGACCCAAAAGATAAAAAAAAGAAAATTTCAAAAAATCATTGCCAGAAAAGACAGAATGACATCAAGACAAGAAGAACAGAATGAATAAGGATGATAACTTGTTAAACTTTAGTGATAAGAGAATTACAACACGGTAGAGCATCAAATGGAAAAAAGGAAAGAAATCCCAATAAGGCAAAAATTAAAAAAAAAAAATGGTACTACAGAAAAGTTGACATGAAAACATGCTGTTCAGGAAAAAGGCAGTCAACCCTGTATTCTCTTGTGGTTGACCGAATCGTCCCCATTTATGGGCCATCTAACAAAAACTTAACTTCCCCCTTGGCCTTGAAAAATAAGGATTATCCGGAAAATTCCCAATATAATCGAAAATAAATTTTGAAGGGGAATGATTGCAATGTAAAAAAAGCAGCCCCCAAACGTTACCCTTATACTTGTCACATCAATTCTCATAAGAATCTTAAACGGCGCGAGGGGTCATGATGTGACACATCAAATTAGAGGTATTTTTATGCTGTAAACGACCACATTTTTGTTTATGATGGTCTGATTAATATAGAAGAAAAAAAAATCAGTTCATATTTGATTAACCATTGCTGACATTACTGGAAACTTCTGGTGGTATTTATTGGCATGCTTTTACAATTATTCTTTCGCTCAATTCTTGTAATATCTCACAGGAAGTAAATCCAAAAATTAGAGATCAGGGGGATATGTCGACGGGACTTCGTCTACCAATTCAATGTCCCGAAAAAGGGCTCATCCAAAACTGCAGCATAGCAAAAAAACTATCTTGTTGAAAAGTTGATACACAAATGTTGATCAACAAAGTTCGAATCAATCAGTAGAAATCAATAGCGGGCGCTACTGATGAAGATGATGAACGGCGAACGGCACCTAACCTTGCATAAATAAGTGGAAGCAAAATTTCAAATATTCCATATGCGTACTCATGCCCGAGACAGGTGCGTTTCCGCTTTCCGCCGCCGCAGGAAGTTACTCATGTCGACCCGACGACGGCGACGGCGACGCTTCAACAGCACAACAAAACAGGACATACGACTCCGCAAGATTTCCTTCTTCG